TAAAAGTTATTGGTTGTATTAAAATATGAATGATCATTATAGTTTTTAAAAGTTATTAAGATATGGTAATAATTTTACATGTGCATTAGTATTCCATTCAATCTATATATCCTATATATAGAATTATTTAATTAATCCATTTTTTATTATAATGTTTTATTAATTAGAACCATTTTCATTAGTACTTCATTCATTAATGACTATTAGTTTTGTATAAAATTTTTATTTTTAAATAAACATACTAATACATATTCCACCAGTTTAAAACATATTTTGTTTACATAATTAAAGTATATCTATAAAATATTTTTTAACTTTATCGATGTTTTGAAAAATTAAGTTTTATATGGTTTTTAAAAAACAATAAATCATTTCTCTTTTACTACTTTTAAAGAAAATACTTATAGAGTCTTTAGTGCATGTACATCTATATTTAAATTATATTAATTGAAAAAAGATATATCTTAGAGTTAAAAAATATTCATCTAACACATATTATGTCACTATTATAAAACTAAAATAAATAAAATTATATATATAGAATATCAAAAATTTAGAATGTATATGAGCTTGTGTGAAGCACGGGGTTAACACTAGTAATATTAACATTATGTTTGCTTTACACTGTATTTGGTTCAAAGAATTTAGAAGGAAAAGAAAAGAAAATGATTATTTCTCATTTTCCTCACCAAAATGCGAATTTAGTTTTCTTTCCATTTAGTACATTTTCATTTTCATTTTCTTTTCCTAGACTTTTTCTTTTTTTTCCTCTCTAACAAAACAAGAAAAAGTATTTTCCAATTTATTTTATTTTCTTTTCCCTTTCAAGTTTCTTGAACCAGACATTGGGCTAGAGAATTTAAAAAGGGAAAAATGAAAGAAAAAAAATCCATGTTTGGTTATAGAGGGAAAAAAAGTGAAAACTAAAAAGAGAGAAGCCAAAATATGTAACACCCTAATCCGTCAAGGTCTGCAGCCCCATTCGGACTAAAGTATTTAACTTGGTAATCGTAAAAATTTAAACTTTTTCAAACACACTTTATTAATCCCAATAATATTTTTCAAAACATATACAGTACGGAGTATTCAACAATATTGCGGAAGCGATTTTAATATTGACATATCATAAATTGTTTCAAAACTTGTCACATCCATCCGACAATCTCGCCCCATCTGCCGCCAGGATCACATTCTGCTTTCTGCTTACCTGCGTGTAGCAAATAAAACACACTACACGCTCAGCGGTAAAGCTGAGTAAGCATATCTAATGCGTCGAACATCCATATAAACTGAATCTAAATTCATAATCAAATCATTTGATATCATGCACACAATGTTCATTTCAGACATT